GATTTCCTTTAACAGTCAATATGATTATCAACATAAAGTAATATAAAATTTTCGTTTCTGTTATCATCGTTGGTAATTCTTTTTCAAATGATACAAAAAATGATATTAATCTTCATGAGTATTTTTTTCAAGTTCTTTTATCATAAACATAAATGCATATGATACTTTTTTTAAACTTTATTGAAAGAAATGAGAATTTTTCTTTGATATTTGTAGAGTCATTTTACGCCTTATTAAAAAATTCCTCGTATCAATTCCTTAGAAACTGTTTCAACTTTAATTTCAAAAACAGCAGTTAGATTCAACCACATGTTCTTCTGACGTGTAATCCTTACTTATAAAAATATGAATCTACTATAAGATGTTAAAAAAAATTTACGTGCAGGTAACATCTATAGATAAGATATTTTGATAAGCAACAGAAAATTTTCCATTGAATTCGGTACAAATCAAATATTTTTCAATTAAATTACTGAAAAAATTAAAAATTTGTTTTATTCAAATCAACATTAATTATTATTCACAAAATATGTAAACCGCTCATTTCTTTTTTTTTTAATTATACTTTTTTGATTTCCCATCAACGACTTTTTCGTGGTTTAGATGCAACCCGAAAAGCCTACACAACTTCCCAGTGGAAAAGATGAAAAATTTGTTTTGTGTCTAAAATCGATTAATACTATGATCACAATTATATTAATGATAATTATTATTAAGAAAAACGACGTAAAAGTTTTGCCTAAATTATAAAATGCAAATAGTGAACCATTTGTTTCAGTTTTTTGATTTTGTATAAAAAATGGCTGGACCGATTTTGCTGAAAATATTGAGTTGCGTGAATATGTGTCAAATGCAATTAGTCTCACGTCGATATTATTTTTGGTTCTCCAAATAATCGAAACAAAAAATGACTCCGCACGCAAATACACACATACATACACAAACGTTTATTTGAAAACTGTTGTATTCAACTTTGGGGACCTTGAAATGTGGAGATATGTCAAAATTCGGAATTCACAAAATCGGATCTATTACTATAACTTCCTACTTAGTAGTTAATGAGTATTTCTTTTAAATAAAAATATTAAATTGTTAATAAGTATCGATGATTGGCGTGATTTGTCATGATGATGTAACTTAAAAGATGACGAGAATCGAGAAAAAAAATTAACTTGTGTATAAAAAATTTTTCCAAGAAACTTTTAAAAACCAGAATAGCAAAAATTACTATAAATCTGGAAAAAAATTTTTGTAAACAACTTTCTAAAGTTAATGATCAATTATTTGATTATTAAATTAAATTGTTAAAATAAAATCGAATTAATTGTGTACTCACATTTATACAAACAGATGAATTGCTCATAATTGCGTCACTTTAATAATTAACAAATATCTCACAAATTTTCACACTTATTAATAATCAACAAATGTTAATAACAATTTTGAAAAAAATTATCAATCCCAAATATTCAGCAACACAACCAATACATTTTTTTCAACCAATAATTAAATTTCTTTAGTAGTTTTTTTCTTGCAGAAAATTCTAGTAACTTTGACGATTAGTAAAGAAAAAAAATTCATCTAAAACAATAATTGAAAAAATTTTTATTAATTTTATTAATCAACGATTGAGTAAAATGAATATTAATAAGACAGTAAACAAATCGTTTGATCGATGCTATATTGTGTTATGCACAACGCGTGTGCTCGACTTGATTCCGGAATAATGAATGTATCGTCATCGAGAACATGAGCGACCATACATTAAACAGAAGCTTATAATGAGCGGGGAGATAACACCAAGTATCTTTCATGTTATAAAACATCAATATGTAGGAAAAAAAATTGGCAATTATCATAGTCAATACATTTACATCAGTTCCTTTATTATCAAACTCAATTAAGATCATCAAAGAATTACTCTGTCATTGGTGTATTATTTTAAAACTCAAAAAAAAAATTTCATTTTATTATTAACACAATAAAAAATTATTAATTTTTTCAGTCTTACAATACTGCGTAATATTGCATAAGACCCCAAGATCCATCAACTCTTTCTTATCAGACTAGAAGTAATTCAAAAAGAATTGAAATTTTTGCAATAAATATTTTCATGTTATTTACCGACTGTCGATAAATGCAGGATTGAAGATTACCATATTAGAATTAAATATAAGTTTGTATAATACTTGATTGTCTAATCGTATTTATAACCGAGTAGAAGTCAATGGCAGGTTTTATTATTAATTTTTATCAAAATTAAAATTTAATCCCGGGTTTTTTTCAACACTAATTAGCTATGTCAGCCATTTAACATACGAATAAAGTGTTCATGAATATGACGACTTTTATAACAATTGATTTTATACGAGAAGACAAATGATTATAAGAGATAAGTTACCATGCAATATCAAGTTATTTGAAGTAGCCACGCGTATTCGATATTAAAATCATTACTTATTATTGTGAAAGTTATTATCAATAATTATATGATTTGTTGATAGATAAAAAGATTTATATTCGATGATGATGTGAATTATTTTATCAAATGATGATGAAAAAGTGAAGATGAATTAATGGTAGATATTAATAATGATGTAGTTGATCTTATATTGAACTTATACTTTTGGAGTACAAGAAAATGTATAAAAGAATAAAGTGTTATTTTAAATCTTACACTCAAAGGTTATTTTTATTTTTAAATTGATACGTAAATACTGAATAACCACAAATAATCATGTATATGCATTAATGCCAACGTGTTTAACCTTGTATTCATTTTCGATTTTTTAGATATTTTACTACAATTTTGGTTTTTCAGAACAAAGAAAATATTTGGGTAGGTATCTTCAACGTGAATTTTAACATCGTTTGACCAAAATTTTCGTGTCAAAGTGACTTTACTTTATCATAATAAAGTCAACTCTAGATCAAAATATTCGTTATTTTTGATTGTTTTTATTCATTAAAAATATGGAAAATATTTTATACAAGGTTCATTCAACCACAATTAATTAACAATGATGACAAAACGAATGATAAATAAAAAGATTATGTTTATTAAAAATAAAAAACTTCTGTTCTAAGATGAAGGAAATAAAAAGTTTGTTTTATCAATTTTTAATAAATAATTAAATTAAATTAATATAAAATAGCGTGTAAAGATTGATAATGAAATTATTTTTTAGAAAAAAGAAAATGAACTTACGTCGTCTGGTACAAAAACAGAAATCATTTTTGGATTCTCACCATATTTCAAAAGAAATTATTGTTTATCAGTAAAGTCAATTTTCTTGAAAACTTGATAAAAATAATAATGGTGTAAAATAATTGATTAAAAATGAAGAGAAACTAAATAATATAAGACACATTCAGGACGGATGATTGATTAAACTGGACAATCGAAGCTCACGTGAAATAATAAACAGCTTGAGTATTAAAGTGTTAGCAATCGTGTTAGGGTCATCCGAGGTCTTACTCATTTCCATATTTTCCATATTGATCAATGCAGATTTATGGATCGTCTATTTAAAATATTCCTTCCGACGTGGCATCGCTTGTCAGGTTAATATAATTCGATCAATTGTCTCATCCATCGTACACAGAAAAAAAATTTTATAAAAATTAATTTCTATTTTCAATACTTAAATACGAACGAATTAACAATACATCGTGTAATGATTCTAGTTTCCTTAATTGATCCATTCGTAATAGTATCAGTTTCCTCATATGCCGATACTATTACACGCTTCCAACTACCATACAAGGACATTACACTTTTTTAGCTTTAAATGGCTACGATACGCGAGAAAATGTTGAGAATTAATACGAGGTCATTTTACGTAATACTTTTTTTTCTATATGAGTATCTATCGATGTCAGAAAAAATTAATTTTTTTAAATACCTACTGTCGGTAATTTTGAAATTTTAATTTTGGCGGGAAATGTAAATCTTTAAATTGATCTCGTTTAATATCATTTGTATTGGCAAACAATTTGATGAAAAAAAATTATTGAAATATTTATAAGTTGTTACATTAAGTTTATTATCAACTACTTATTTACAATGATACATGAGATTATTCTTTTCAATGTCAAGTGACGATTGAAAGACGTAATGATATCGTGACTCCACGTGTTATGATATGGAAGTGAAAAAGTCTATTATTATTACAACAAATTAATTACACTTATGACAAATTAATTTTTTTTTTTCTATATAGAAAAGTTATTTTTTATTGTAATTCAATTCGGGTTCGTACATTCAATTTTCTTTACTTAATAGTCTTTTTTATTCATCCATACATTGAGGTCGGGAAATATTCAGGAGAATCTTATGCAGTCTAACATTCAGATGAGTGCATCGATAAAATTAAATTAAAAAAGTTTGTTCACGTATCTCTGCGTGCAACAAATGCATGCGTAAATATGATACCTATCATTTCTCTTTCTTTTCGGGAGTTTTTTTATCTCAATTGCTACACGTGAATTGTCATCACACATTATTAACTGACTACATCTATACTATAGTGTCTGACGACAAAAATAGATGTGTCCAAAGTACGTGACATCGAAGACATTGAATGATTATTATCGCAAAAAAAGCGCTAAAATTAACAAAATAAAAACGAAAACATATTTCTAGAAAGAGAGAGAGAGAATTTGCTAAGAGAAAAATTACAATGAAGACTTTGGTTGTCTTTTAATAATTCGGAATAACCTTGAATCTATTCTTGTTCAGCCGTTTAAAAATTATTCGACAAAAGAAATTTCTTGTGAAAAAATCACTATCTGTTTTACCGACTGAATTCCATTGTCTCCAATTCAAATAATCATGCGGTTTACAAGCTTAATTCGATATCAATTAAGTTTTAAAAATTATTTAAAGTGTTTGTTAAGTATAAATAAAATTACTTAAAATATAATCAGATAGTTAGTTTTAAAAATTAATTTTAGCAATTTTTTGTTTGATTAATAAATAATTGAATTCATTAAAGTACCTCTTGAGTAAGTTCAGCATCATTTTTTTGTGGTTCTTGGACAGTTTGGGACTCCGTAGGTGGATTAGGTGATGAAATATTTCGATTTCTTTCACTGGAATCTGCAATACTTGTACCTGCTGATGATGCATCTGAAGCATTTTTTCCACTTTCTTCAATGTTCAACAAGTAAGCATGAATATTATGATGATTATTATACTCAGTGTTGAGCCGATTATATCGTCCAAGTGAATTGAGGTCTTGAAATAAATTACGTTCGTAATTTAGTAACATTGAGTCTGGGTTTTTTGGATGAATAAATAGAGGTCGATGTACAATCGTATGAGCATCTGTATGCCATCCTGATCCATTATTCAAATCCAATAATGATCGTACACCAATACTTTGGATGTCTATTCCTAGATAAGATTCCGGATCAACTCGTAATATTGATAATATTAATGCTAATTGGAGGAGTTCTTCACGATATAATTTCTTCAAACACAACATTTTCTAGTGATTTTTTAAAAAAATTTTTACAAAATTTTGAAAACCTTTTCTTCTTCTAGCAATCTTTTTAAATTTTTTCGCAAAATTTTAGGTGTTTTTAAGTTTTAGTGATTTTTTGCCAAAATTTACGGGGCTTTCCTCTCGTACTCTTTTTAAATTATCTTGCAACGAACTGGTAATTTTTTTTATTTTATTTTTTTTAGAATTTTATTATATTTTTTTCCAAATTAAAAAACTATTTTTTTGTTATTCGATTTTAGATTTGTTTCGAATCATTGTATCGAGAAGTTTTTTGAAAATTATCTTTCCATATATACAAATAAATAAACAGTTTTTTTTTCTAATAGTGTAAGTGAATATGGAAAATTAAAATAGATGAAAAAATAATTAATCTTGATGTCACAGTATGTCACAGTTGATATTAAGTACAAAACAATACTTTAGAGTCTTCATTATAACTGAGTAATAATTACAAAAATCCATGCAATAATTTGCTAATGGATTTGTTGTAAATAATCGATGATTTATACATTTTCACTGATGTCGTTAGAGTCTAGGTCAGTTACACTAGACAGAATAATAACCTACAAGTCAATCACTCACACAGCTATTTTTTTTATTATAATTAAATAATTGATAGAAAAAAAATAATAATAATTTTTATTCCTTTTTCTTGTGCAAAACACTTTTTTTCGCAAGATGTCACTTAAATATAACACTTTTAACAACTAAATTGATGATTTCACAAAAGTTTCTTTTCGTTGGCACAAAGACATGCACTTGATTACTACGCAGATTAATATCCCAATGTCTAAAGTGATTAAATTATTAACAAACTAATGTCTTTGTTGTTATTGGTTAATAATAATGGTTTAGATGATGTCTATGTTGTGTTCAAGTTTACTTAAGAGTAAAACGAGTCCAACTTGTGGAGATTGTTGCACGATATGTGACTCAGCACAGTCACTCCGGCAACGTCGTACGATTCAGGGCTGTATTCAATTATTATGTCTCCTTGATCTTTGAATAAATATACACAAATTACTGAAAATATTTATTCGCTAACTCAAGTAACTGCTAATATCGTTGCAAAATAATTTTTGCTATATTTTTCGACACTTGAACTCCAATCATCAAAATTAATTTGCAAATTCTTGGAATTGCGATTTTTTAAAACCATTGCAAGTATTTTACATTTTTTCAAAATACTTTTCTTAATTATTCAATTATTTTTTTATTTTTTTATATTCATATTTATAAATAACTTTATCGATAATATTTTTATTTTCATTTATCTGATTATTTTTGTAACACAAAAATTTTTAATTTTTTAAATTGGTTCTTCTTATACATAATTATTATAAATATTTTTTTTTTAATGATTTCTTTTGCATTATTCTTGATGACTAACAATATACTTTTATAAGTTATGGTAATAATATTTCTATTTTTATTGATTTATAAAAAAAAAGACTTTATTATATTAAAATAAACCTTCTATATGTTATTTTTGACTTTTCTTTCTTATCAGAGTAATTCATTTATTTTTTTTTATTTTATTAATAAATATTCACTTCTTGTGAGATATTAAAAATAAATTATTAATGAACATAAATGATACCTTATAGGTTTATAGATAATTGATGCTCTGTTCCTTCGATTTAAATAATTAAAGAGCTTAATATTCTTTTAATGCTTTGTGATTAATTAAATTTTTTGTTATTGTTTTATTCCTAACCGTTCTTATCTTGTTTATTTTTATTTTCTCTTATTAACCAGATTTTATGCACAGACATTATTTAATACCTTTACGGAAATACATGTATATTCTTCAGTACATACTTAAGTACATACATATACTTTACTGAATACCTCTATGGATATACACATGCAAATGTACATTCTTTACACATATTTTTTTCCTAAAACGGAACATAAAGGACATAAAAAATCTTATGTACCTTATGTTATTGTTTTCTCAACAATAATTCATTTATTTATTCATTTCAATAATAACAATAGACTATTGATTTTTATAAAAATTAAAAAATTCATATGACTGAGTTTATTTCTTTTTTTTTCATTAATGTAATATTAATAATTTTAAGATAAATACTCCAAACGTAATTAGGTAAAAATATAGTTATATATCTATTTATTTAGTCATCGAAGAACTTTCAAGTACTGATAAATACAAGAAAAAATAAATTTTCCATAGGAATGAATAGCATAATTATTTGTGACAATTATTTATAAAACAGAAATTTTTTTAAGCACAGTTTTAAAATTAATCATTAATAATTATAATTAATTTAACATCATTTTTCAATTGATAAAAGTTAATACCATTTGCATTAGTTAGAATATTGAGCCCAAGGACCTTCCTACTTTTTATTTAAATAATTCAATAATTTATCAAACAATTATTTTACATATTATTTTTGATAAGCATAGTAACTTAGTTAAAATAATTACAAAATTAAAAAAATATCAAAATAAATTCCTTAACAATGTTGCGTGTTTGTTAAATTTTTATGAAAAAACAATTTAAAAAATATCAACTGTGATAATGAAATACAAATCATCTCAACAAATGGAATATATTTGATAAAATTCTGCCAACCGTGGCCATTAACCCAGTTATACTGCGCTATTTTACAAGGATTACATTGAAATTAATTACTCAGTCGATAAAATCGACTAAAATCTTTATTTTGAATCAAAATTAGTTTTTTTTGTCTAAAAATAAAAGAAGAAACGAAAAAAAAGGATGTTCATTAACTATTCATGTACCCGTTTCTGAATATGTAAAAAGCGAGAAAGAAAGAGGAAGAGCAAAAAAACAAGGATAGATAATAGAGAACTTTGATCGTTGGCATAAAAATAAATAAGAATATATTCACAACGTTGCCACGTTATGCATAAAAGATGATTAAATGAACTTGTCAAGTTAAAAAAACATTATTGACTAGATAACCTTTTTATTACGTCAGTCAATACCATTGACTTTTAATTGAAGGAATAGCATTTAAATGTGAAATAAAAAAAAATTAAACATTAAATTGAATTATTACTCACATTACCAATCACCTCCCTCTGTCGGTAACTTGTCGATAATTTCACTGATGTCATTATCATTTCTCTATTGTTGTTTATAAGACTTTCAATTGTTTACCAACTTCACTAGTTGTCACTTTAATAATTTCAATCAACCAAAAATTAATCGACTAGTTGTTTTCCTCAAATCTAAATAGTCCGTTTAAATTCTTAATTTTAATCCTTTTAATATTTTTAATTGTTTTCTTATTAAAGTCCTTGTTTATTATTCTAATTACATTCAAAGATCCAGTGAATTGAACTATATTTGATTATTACAATTTCGACACAATAAAAACAACTACTAACAGAAATCTCTTGAGTTTTTGAATTTCTGGTTCGACAATAGATCCGAAGAACGACTGAAAAGATAAGTGGTAACATACATAAACATACTACAAACACTTACTCACATATGTACATACACATTTGCACTATCAAGAACGTTCGCAAATGAAAAACTAATCGATAAATGGATCGATGTTAATTTAATGATATTTTTAAAATGAATAATTTATTTATTAATAATGATAAAAAATATAGGTGAGAATGTCCTCTACAAATGTATTACCCAATAAAAATTTCCTGATGCTTCGACTTCCGGTAAAAAAAACACGTAATAATCAGAAGTCAGGATTTTAAAGCCTCTCCTTTGGCCATCACCAGAGATCCAACAGAAGATTTTAATGTCCAGGTGAAATAAAATAAAATATTCTTCGATATTCTAGATGTAATGCTTGTGATAAGTTAATAAACAGTGAAACTTTTTTTTTGTATTTTTTAAAATTTGTCTTAACGGTAAAAATGTTTTCTATCAATCTACCCTGGTAAAACAATCCAATAAAATCTGTCAGAATACTATTGAAACCCATAATCATTTTATGAGAATTAATAAGTTCTTTCGGAAGGTAGCGCAGTTCTCATAAAAAAATTATAAGAACGAACCAGAACTTACAGGTGGAACAAAAATTTGAAACTATAATACGAGAATGATAGAGAATGGATAGGACAACTCTATATGTCCTAATGAGAAGGAATAGGGAAATAATATTTTTTAATTTATCGTCAATTTCAATGAGAGTCATATGATTATCATATTAATATATATATATATATATATACATATATCATAAAAAATTACTGAACCGCAGAGTAAGTTTCACTTAACGTGCTTGGTAAAATTTACCCAGATAGTTTTGTAATAGTTAATACGCATAGTTCATCAAATTTCTCAGATTCTGGAGTTATCATGCGGTTAATTTAAACTTAAGGATGTATGACACTTTTATAAATTTCATTTTTAAAGCTCGAAATATATAATAAAGTAAATAATACTTTATTGATTTTCATTATGAAAATATACCGTTTCTGATATATTTTATGAAACAATTGAACTTAATGATCTCATTAAACTACGTGTTATTTGTATCGGAAATATGTAAAATCGGAAGTAAATTACAAAATTTAGTACACTGAGAAAAAAATTTACTTTATACAAAAAATATTTCATTCGATCATTAACATCGAAATTTTAAATAGTTGCAATAAAATATTCCTTCGAAATTATGAATAGTTGATTGAAATCATTTTATTTACTCAAATGAATAAAATGTCATTTGTTTTCATTCTTGTCGTAACCTTGAAAATTTGTTTTCAAACTTGTCACAACATTGAAACAAATGACAAAATGTGTTTTTGATAACACTACTATTAGTGTGAATAAAATATTATCTTGAGAATATTCGAAGTTTCTTTTATTGATTGAATAAAAAATTCTTTCATTTAACGAAATTTTTTTCTAAGTGTATGTTTCATGCATTTTTATGTGTAAAAAATATACTTCTAGGAAATTTCAACGTTTTTCTATTTATTTATGCAAAAAAAAATAGGTATAACTGAGTTTATTTTTCTAAAACTAGATAAAAACTTTGGCAAAATGGAATAATGGGTGGTCCGCCATGTTGAATACGATGCTGAAAGTAGTCATATGGAAACTTTTATTCATTATAAATAATTATAAATCAGTACAATTTAAATTATAACTAATTAATGAATAGTTACAATTTTGAAAAAGAATTTAGGTACGCATAATTCAAAAAAACCTATTTAAAAATTTTTTAGATGTACTGCATACAATGATAATTGTACAAAACATTTCTCTCTACCGTCAATATACGCTGTTATGCCGTGGATAGTTTTCAGGATTTTAATTAATTTGTAAGCACAGATTTTATTTTAAGAGATCACAAATTTATTGGTGTCAACAGATGTCTCGATTCTGAATAAAATATTTTGGATGTATTGTTTTACAGAAATAGAGTGATTTGTGTACCTTACAAGAAGTATTTATCGCTAGGTGTGTATAATAATCTTTCGTTATTAGTAATTATGTAGTCGTTAGGATTTGATATATACGCCAATAAATGATTTCTTATTAATTTAGGAGCAGAAATGGCTCTGTATGCTTTAAAATTTCCTATTTCTAAGATAGGAAATTTTGATTGGTATCAATGCAAAAAGATTGGTATTTTGATTACATAAACAAATCTATATCCTATTACACTTATTGCTACGTCACTTATCTCCAAGTATTCAAAAAAGTTACCTTCATGTATAGCGATTGGCATTTCATTAGCTCTTCTCTCATCTCTTATTAATTTTATTGAACTCATAAGTAAATCTGGTGTTAATAATTGAGAATTTCTTTGACCAATTTTTGCAAAACTAATGGTCTGAACTATCATGTTAACATTTCTATTGAATTCTATTGAGGCTAACTCAACTTCTAGACAAAGGTCAGTTATAATAGTATCCTTTTGGATAACATTTTCTGTTTCTAAAATTCTTTGAAAGGTTTTGTCAATATTTTGAAA